CTTATTGTTTTTCTGTCCTTTTATGATGGCTATGAATTTTTTGTATGGACGTAAGGGGGTAAATGGAGAAATACATCAAGTCAAGGGGGTTAATGATGGAGGAAAAGTTGAGAACCCCTGCATTAATCGATCTGTTCTATCTGGACAAATGCATTTTGGCTTTTATGACTCCCTCGAGAAATCGAGCGTGACGTGACGTGAAACACATTAGCTTTTATATAAGTTAGATTTTAATTAGCAACATTATTTACATATTCTCATATGTATTCTAAATCCCTTATTTAAAGTGTGCTTCGTAAATTCAGCGTTTTCCTACTCTACCGGTAGATGGTAACTACATCACTAAAAGTCAGCTTTTTTTTAACGACGACAATCTTTATGGGGTTCGTTCTTCCACTGGAATTACTTTTGAGATAACTTACTTTTAAGATAGTTAGACCCTTCAATGTTTTTCATTTGTGTAATTTGGCTCCATGCTGTTACCTAGATTAGCATTTGGTGGCGTAAAAATAGGGGTTTGTAGTTTGAGTAAATAATGTCTACAGTATCTCCAGCCTTGTTTGCTTACTTTTTTGTACGATCCCTATTTACAGATTTTTGAATTCCAAATTTTTTTATTTATCTTCTACAACTATAATTTAGTTGTTTTTGAAATCTGACTTTCAAATAAAGAGTATTTTTTATGGTTTAAAAATACATCAGTTTACGTTATTTACAGGTTGTCCTTGTGCACAGCAGAATGTGTTGGAATAGATATAGTGTAACTACCCTTCTTTTAATTTGAGCATAAATATGACACCAGATAATGAAGAGTTAAGCTTAAATGCAATTAGAGCCTTGTCATATTGAAACTGAATACGATCTTAAATCAATTAATCACGGTTAGCCATTTCTACTCACATCGCGAACCTGTAATATTTTAATAAAGAGCATATGTATTGTATTAAATTACACAATGTAAACATTCGAGTGTGCTTTACATGAGCAGCCCGTCAGTGTGTCAACGGCTTATAAGCTAAAATTAGAGGTTCAATCCATGAGATGGATACAACGTCAATAGCCTATTGAGCAGCTTTGCACTTAAATCAAACAAGAAATTAAAACAGACCGTTTAATGTTTTACTCTTTTTTTTTGTATTATTCAGTATTATAAATCTTACAGGTGTTAATGTAGCTTATAATCTTATTCTTTCCTCCGTAACTTGCATTCTGCATTTTTTGTGACCATTGAAAAACTGATATTTTGTAAGAAATAATGTCGTTTAACAACAGTTTTGGATTTCAAAGAATTTTGGTAGGAAAACAGGAAAAATAGAAAACAAACATTTTGACTTATATTTCCGAATATTCGTATAGAGCGGAAATCTTTGATTTGTTTGAAGTTAAGCACAAAGCTACACAATGGACTATCTGTGCTTTGCCCACCACGGGTATCGAAACCCGGATTCTACCGTTGCAAGTCCGCAGACATACTTACTCGCACAATCTTGAAGCTGTTAATTAGATTGTTTTTAAAACAACCTGCTGGATTAATCTATCAATGATATATGTTCAGTGAGTTTTTTTTTTTTCTAAATCTATATGAAGTAAGTGGTCTCTATGCTGTCCTTAGAACATTTGGTGCTTCGTCCGATCACCATTACAAACATTTAAAACCAAGAGGGAATCCTCAATAGCTGCGATATATAAAATTATTTTAGGCAGGATTTGGGTAAACTAATCTGCGAGACATT